TTTCTTGTATTTCTCGGCATTTCTTTGGGAACAAAAACTTCGAATTGTTCAAATTGTCATTTTCCAAAGCGTAAAAAGAGATATTTGCGTTTAGGTGCCAAAATAATGGAAAAATTTCTGCTCCTTTCTTGTCGTCATTCAACTGAACACGAACCACACATCACGTTCGCGCCGAAATTTGATTTTGTTGTGCTGACCTCTCGCACATGCGCAGACGTTATTCAGCCCTGTTTGACCGTCGCAAGGAGTGAGCTAGGTCCCAGACCCCGGGACAATTTTGACTGCAAAATAGCACTTTTTAGAGCACAAAACTTCAGGTTTGAAAACTTTTCCGCCCCGATTGAAGGTTAGAACCGTTTTTTATATGTATCAAGCTAAGAAAAACCGAGAAAAAAATTTCATGTCATATGCACTTTAAACTGAAATAACAATAGAACGAAGGTTCTATCAATTCTATCAGTTTAGCATAACAAGTTGCTTAATATGTGGTTAATATATATGGTTAAAACTTACATGTGACAAACTAAGCAATTTTGAGTCCATAAAATAACGAAACAGAGTAACAAAAACATCAAAAATAACCCGCGTAAACGCTACGTTAAGATTCCACATCAAGTTCAATCAAAGAATACGCAAGTACACACAGAAAAAGATCAGATTATCAACCTAATGTTCTCAAAAGTAAATCCTCATGACGAGTGTTCACTCTAGTGGCGTTAAGACCATTTTCGCCTTTTGACTATTATAGATAAATTAACGCTGTACTATGGTGTTAACTTGTGTTCTCTCGCCCATAACTAGAAAACTTAACTTTAACAAAATGACAAAGGTACTCGGTCCCGCTTAGCCAAGGGTTAAGAATCATAATTTTCAAGAGCTCGGCCAAGCGAAATCGAACGAAAAAATACTTCTAAGGGACGCTAAATCAGTTTTTATGTGCGCGTGGTGACGCTAAAAGGTCTGATTACAAAACCAATACAAATGAAAGTAACCATTAATATTGCTAATAAGTTCGTAACTGAAATATAGAGATACGGAGACAACTATTAATTAATCAAAATGAGCCTTTTTCTAGTGTCCTTAATGTGACGTAAGCGAAGATTCCTTAAGCTATAGCAGATTAAAGCTCGATTTCAAATATGAAGAATACTTGATTTATTTGCATGCTAAAACTGAATTATCTTGTCATACATTTACTCTAGCACCTCAAACTGCACAATAATACATTCCGACCTGATCCGTTACTGCATTTCTACTGCAGCCGTCTTTCCCTTATTCTCTGGCTAACTGCTTTTTTGAGCGAGTTCAGTTACCTGTACACAACGGCATACTTAATACGAACGAAGAAAAACCATAACGTTATCTTTTTGTTTCAAAAATATACAAACAATAACTAGAAATTCTGCATTATGAATTCCCTAAGATAAGAACATGTTCAGCCATGCTTGTTCAGTCATTGTTCAAGACACTGTACTCTCACAGTTCTCCTCTCCACCTACGTGTATAAATGGGTTCTGGTACGTTGTTGTGGCAACCTAACAGAATGACGAGGAGTAGCCTGCGACGGACTAACATCCCATCTAGGGATGAGGAGGTTGGGGAGGGGTAGCAATACTCCTAGCCGCTTTATGCTACAGAAACCGGAGTTAAGCTCCGAGAGATAGCTATGAGCCAGTTGAACTAAGTAAGATTAATTTTTTTATATCAGTTATTAAAAATTAGGAATATATATGACTTGAAAGTATTAATGATATGCTTTCATAGTAGCCACTCATACAGTCAATTCGTTTTGTTCAGTGTTTAAAAAAAGTTAATATTAAATGACTTAAAAAAAGTTCAAGTTTCTTAACAAACAACAAATTGCACTGACAACTAATCCAGTGGCAAAATTAGTCTTTAACTTACGACTGTAAAAAGTCAAGGATGGTTCGAGCTACATTCCCACTCGAAACATCTTTTGCTGTCGCAGTTATTTCCGTTCGACCAAAATACATGCTGACTTCAATATTTCTATCTTTACCTCTCCAAGTGTCGGGGGACTGAACCGCCATATTACCTATCTTCGTCATTCCGGGGTCCGTGATATATTCTTCATCAGGATTGCCAGTAGCATAAAAGTTCAGTTCGATGTCGATGTCGGTTGCACGAAGTGGAGTGTAACGTCTTGTGATTACCTGACCATTTTGTACTGTCGCGTTCTCTCTTACGAAAACGTCGAACTTGTCTTTACACTTCTCAACCCCATCCACAAAAAACTTCTTTTCTTCACGGTCAAAACCTCGTATAAAGTCTTGCACATTAGCCATCCCATAGGTTGTACGCACAACTCTTTCGGTTATTTTCGAAGGCTTCTTGCCAAACATCACGGCACCTTGAACGACTGCAATAGCTGCATGATTGGGGATCAGCACTCTGAACTTTCTTGAAAACTCACTCTTAATTTCTTTCTGAAGAAGAGCAGAATCGGCAAACCCTCCAACCAAAAGCATTGTTTTCACCTTTGACAGCTGTGGATTTTTCTGCAGGGATCTCAAATGTTTCTTAATATCCTCAATTACCGGAACAAACAATTTTTTCATTACTTCTGAACTGAGAGCAAGGTACTCATTATTTCTCAGTTTAACTTCTTTTTCACCGTAGCGTGATCTCCAGCACTGATTTGCCAGGGACACAAAACTGCGTGGTAATCGGATGTTTGTCATTACTTTGCTGTCTAAGATGCGTTCTCCTTTCTTTTTGCCCTCGAATTCGTTCATCAGACAGAGCCAATCAGATGGAGACTGTTTCCGGTAGGTTTGAAGCTTCCGCGAATCGAGCAGCTCATCCAAAAGTGCTTCAAATTGTTGATTCACCTTTATTCCGCCGTATGGACCTCCTGTCACCTTGTGGATCTCTTTGATGTTACCGTCGTCCTGTATGGCGTGTACTGTGACGTCAAGAGTGCCTCCTGAACAAAAACAAAGCCAAGTT